CCAACGTTTTTGGCTGACGAAGCTTGTTGACGGAGGATATGGACATCGAAAGCTTCGATACGTTGTTCGAAGCACATAGGTTTAGGAGACTAGGGATGGTGTCTCGTGAAGTCGAATGACTATCAAGAGCTGGAAGAAATTACAAGTGAGGTAGGAATGTTGACCGAGAGACGTGAAGGAAGATTGGAAGTTGGATAACGAACTGAGGGAGACTGAGTACTGACAGAGTTGTGAGTGCATTTAATACTTCCCAACTGCCCACACTGTGGGTGGCTGGTACTTCCTGAGGTATCTGGAGAAGAAATTCGGTTAGTGACAGTGGGGCATCACCACCACACAGTCAAAAAAACATCTTCAGGAGGGCGGTGATTCATAGCTATTTCAGTAAGTTTTTTGTGTTTGTTTGTTTGGTTTTTATAAATGCGACCAAAATCGTATGAGACGCTTTGGTATGCTGTGTGATAGAAGGGAATGTGCTATTTTTTGAGGTCGACCTCTTGCTATAGGGAATGGCAGGCAGCATCAGCATGTCACTTCTCGTCACTAATTGATCTTTTTCGAATCAATTGTTGCTTTTTCCAACCTTCACCTGTTTCGCGTGAGATACTGTATTTAAGCATGTGTAACAATTGTTGTCTTATTCGACGAAGATTTACAACTTTATCTAGTAAATTCACTCTGTTATCTAATACTTCATATTCAACCAGTTCATTACTAATAAGATGGTTGCATTGCATAAATGGAATGCCATCTAAGGCATCGGTGATCAGAAACCTGTAGCTTTCATGTATCATTGTCCATGTTTCATAGGTGAATAGTATGATAGAGCATACCGCTGCTCACTACACTTGACCCTTGTTCGTTATCTAAATATCTGAGACATGGTGTAAGTTGCTTGAAAGGAATCTAGTCTTTTGAATCCATGATGAGACCGTGTTAGTTGCTGATGTATATGGGCTTATTTGAAAGTTTTTGGTAGATGAAGTAGTCGGCAGGCTCAAACACTCCTGTTACTACGTCCACGTGATTTTGGGGTGAAGGCTGTTGGTATAGCGGAAATGTTTTTGCGCTGGGAGTTTTGGTGAATATATTCTGCCAGTCTTCCTGTTGCTTGGTTTTGTATTCCCTATTGATATTTCTTATCACTTTATTGAGTAGGTAAATGTGAGTCAGTCTTTTATTGGCGATACACCTTTAACGGTTGTCAAGGGTGAAAATAAACCGTTATTGAATGGAGAGTCTAACTGTACAATTGAGCCTCAGTTCTGATCGATGAAGCACTTCGGAGTATACACGAAGATGAAGGGAAATTTATCCAGGCCAAAAATAAATATGTTATTTTTGATGCTAGAGAAAGTAGAGTAAGTGTTATTAATTGTTTAAAATTGCTGATTGCTTGCCATTTTTCTTAAATTGGGTTAAGGTGTTCCCATCTAGTTACGTGATATAAAACTGTCTTCGAGTAACTATTCAGACGACTTACTGAAATGCATTGATTTTTCGGTTTCAACACTACGAAATATCGCAAACCTTTATCAGCCTCATTCAACAACTATATGAAGACGCTACATACCAAGTAATTCACAATGGGAAGCTCAGTGGTGCCTTTGAGGTGAAGACAGGAGTAAGACAAAGGTTGCCTACTATCACCCATGATCTTCCTGATTGTGGTGGACTGGATCATACAGCTGACAACTGTGGTGAGCGAGAAGAGGAGGATACGCTGGACTGCAGAAAAGAACCTAGAAGACTTGGATTTTGCCGATGACTTATGTGTAATGTCGCACAAACTTGAATATCTACAGGCAGAAACTAACAAGTTGACGGAAGAGGTGAGGCGAGGCAGCGAAGACCGGACATCAGGTGAATATAGAGAAGACAGATGTGATGAAGATACCGCACCCCCACCACCCCCACCACCCCCACCACCACCAACAACAACAATAACAAGCTCCAATCACCATCAACGGGAGAAACTTGAAGGAAGTGGCCTCCTTCACCTATCTGGGCAGCACTGTTCAACTACAGGCGGGACAGACGAGGATGTCAAAGTCAGAATCGGAAAAGCAAGACAGGCGTTCATAAGCCTGAAACCAGTGTGGAGATCTTCTGCACTCAGCATATTGAAGAAGATGCGAATTTTCAACACCAACGCCAAGTCAGTGCTTCTATGTGGTGGTTGAGAGACTTGGCGCGTTACGAAAGGGATTTCCAATAGACGTTAGACATTCATCAACAACTGCCTACGCTGGCTCGTTACTGAAGATCAGATGACCAGGATAATAAGAATAAGCAACAAGGAAATCCCTCTGCCTGGCTGCGAACCAACCAAGAACCTATGTCTCAACAAATATGCAGAAGGAAGTGGAGATGGATTGGATCGGGCATACACTGAGAAGGTCGACTGGGGACATCACGCGTCAGGCCTTCGAGTGGGACCGCCATGGGAAGCGACGAGTTGGACGTTCGAGGCGAGGGTGACATTGAGGAGATCGTGCTAGGAGGAAATGAGAGCTTGTGGGTTGTCGTGGAGCCAGGTTCAAAAGATTTCAGAGAACAGAGTTCACTGGAGACGTGCTACTGAAGCCCTATGTTCTATTAGAAACCCAAGAGACAAATAATAACAATATATTATTGATTTTTCGAGAAAGGAAACCTAAAGTTATCACATATTTTTTTGAGAGGAAATTTCGGAGATCAATGAATAAACATTTCTGATAATTTTATAATTTGTTACAGTTACAATCATAGATCAAGTAAACGATATTTATTTTACTTCATTGTTGAACTTCTGTGTTGTATGCATTTGAATATTAAATGACAGTAGATCGTGAACCTCGTTGAATTTAGAAAATAACCGTCATCCATTAAAATCGTATTTTCTGCATTTAATACTGCGAACTGCATTGATTCTGGTTGAACATTGAAATATGTTGTCATGAAAAACAAGGGAAACTGTTGTTGTTGTTTAAAGCACTGAGCGTAGACTTCTTGATATACTCATCTCAGGCGGAAATTGTTAGGAACTGGGGAACCTGAGTTGACAGCTCTATTATAAACTGTGGCTTTTACTCAGTGCTGACACGCGGTGGCATCTGTGTTTGAAGTGACAGTTGGCAGATCAACGTAGAACCTGATACAAAAGCTCATTGGTTCAAGTTTCCACACCTCAAGTCAATATGCGAGGGAAAGGTGGTATTAACTTATTATTTTTATACAATTATCCATTCCACAATGCACACACTTTTCATCGACATATTTGAAGTAAATAAATATTTATTAGGGAAGATATAAGTAGATGAAGTTGAGGAAAATGTGTGTGTACATCTGTGCCACTGTGACAAATACTCTGCCACATCACATAGTCTCTAACCATTGATTCCTATCATTTTGAGGATTGTAAACAGGGGATTTATACCTCTCTATGCTGTTCAGACTAACAATCAGAGACCTCGTAGGCTGATCCCAAATCTTTTCTGACCCATCTTACCCTCTTTTAACTCAATCCCACATCTGGCAACATTAACCCTCAGGTAGGAGGCGAGAGTAGGCATGCGCAATACGTCTCCAAGTCATCTCAGTTGCTAAGGTTTACAACTTGATCGACTTACCTACGTTCCTTGTCTGATAACCCATATCGAACTTCGAAATCGCTTAGACGATGGTTTAAGTAGATGCAAACAATGCATCAAAGACACGTGGTGAAAAATCTGCATTCTTTTAATTTCTTTTAGTGACCACGTCTCACAGACATATTATAAAACAGTGGAGTGAACCCTAATATGTGTTTTCTTTATTGAATAGTCGGATGTCTTGCCAGTCGTCGCCATAAAATCAATCAATTAATCAATATCAACATAGGACCAGGCATTACTGCATACGGTCCGAGTTGCCACATCTCATATCAGTACATCAAGTAGAAAGGTAGTGAGGTGAAGGATGAAGATAAGAGAATGCAGTCAAAAAAAATATAAAGTAAGAGAAGAAAGAAAAGAGGAGTGACGAAACGGGGAGATTCGGTATAGTGTCGTTAAGATGAGGATAATGTGTGTATACATCTGCACCACTGACTTCGGTTATGAGCCATATCACCTAGAGTCTCCAACTACTGGTTCCTCTTGTCCCGCGGACCGAAAACACCTAGTCTGCATCGTCCTACATGGCTTAAACCAACAGTCAGAGACTTCATACATTGGTGCCATGTTTTAGTCTGGCCACCTCGAGCCTTTTTCCAGCCTGGACCTACTTCGGCCAACATTGTGTGACGAGGCAGTTGGTGACTGGGCATACGTAGTACGTGTCCCAACCATCTCAGTCGATGAAGGTTCATAACCTCGTCAACTGACTTACCTCTTCGTCGCCATAAGTGACGCAAGTTAGCAAATGCGAAACGAGTCTTGTGTATCTGAGCGTGGATTTAGTCAGCAACTAACCTATTTAGACTGATGCAACTCCCCGAATAAGCGAAGTGGTCAATATATTCTTCCACTTCATCCTCTATCCTTAAACTAGTAGTAGTTATAAACATGTCACGAAGCACTATCCTACATTTGAGGGGAGCGGAACGCATGTCAAAAGTACTCAGATTTCTGCTTTAGGTGTTCAGAAGACCCTTCATTTTGTAATCTTCACCCAGGAGCACAACATCTGTGTGCTGCACGTCAACCAGGGGCCCTCCTGGCATGGTAGTAGGTCAATCCCTGTGATACACCTATAACGAAGTTAGGCAAGATCGTTGATACCAAGCATCCCTGATAGATATCACCTGTTGTCGTCAATTCAGGTGACAACTCCCCATAAACTCTTAGATGGCTGGGTGAGTTCGAGTGGCCAGCTTTGATGAGTATTATTTACTTGCTTGGCACTCCCTTCACAGTCAGACGTTAACTCAACACCATCAGTTGACAGAGCAGAATGCTGCCTTCAGGTGAAGAAATATGGCAAGTATCGGTCGTCGATAGGTATGTCTGTGTTCCAAGCCTGTCGGAGGGTGAAAATCTGATTGATGCACTCTCATCGTCTGGGCCTAATGCCTTCATGGTTTTCTCGAGTTTGCTGTTCTTGAGCTTCCATTAGGTGTCGGATATCAATGAAGCCCGGGATCTTGGACATGACGTAAGTCAACCTGATTCCCTTACGGTTTTCACAGGAAGATTTCTCTCCTTCCTTATAGATTGGATTGATCAGTGAAAGAGACTATACTGACGAGACTGTCTGTCGCTTACACTATTTCGTCCGTTACTTTACCTTCATCGTTAAAAAACGTCAGGTGGCGAGCCATTAGGCCTTGGTGCTTTGTATCTTTTTAGATTCGAAAGAGCATTGTCAACCTCGCAGAAAGCTGAAGGACTGACACCTACGATCCACTCAGGTTCGTTTTCGCTCGATGCTGGACAGTTGAAGCATCTCTGCGGCCCAGTTGAACTGGTGTTCAGCCCAACGTTCTAGTCGTTTGTTCTGAGACGTTATCAGCATCCCTTTCTTTTTGGTGGTGGTTTCACTAGACATTGTTTTCTTCTTGCCGGTAACCTTAACAAGTCTAAATAGTTGCTGTATTACCCAACGCTGATGTCTTGCTTATCTTTCTCGCTTTCGCTGCACACTACTGCTCGCGGTGGTTACGAAGACTCTTTCCGATTAGCTCATTCTCCCTATTTGTACGTTAATTTACTACTGCAGCTGTGAGCGTTCAGACTTATGAAGCAAAAATGTCAACTTTTGATAAAACTCATCTTTTTTATCATTTAAATTGCCGTCGGCATGAACGTAGGTACAGATTGTGAATAAACACCGATGGCTGTCATGATTGTTTCTAGTTCTCACGTATTCGTTCTTTCGGACAGTGCACATGTGGCTATATACTGGTTTCTACTTGAGAAGTGCACTTTCTGAAATATCTTCACCAGCGAGTTCCCGGCAGCTATAGCCACTGAGTTTCGAGACACTTGTAAAATGAAGTTTGCAGATTCACCACATTGACTAGGTGAGGTCAAGTAAATAACCACCCTATGGTCCTGCAAATGCATATGAGAAGCGTACCATACATTTATGATTCGAGATTCCATGGATTTGGTAAGTGATGCCTGTTCTGCGACTCGTCATAGGTTTCTGGCGTTGAAAACTTCAATGTGGAATCAACAGCAGGGTTTTTAAAGACTAGGAGTGCTGTTTACCAGCTTGAATCGTTAGCAATTGTTGCAGAGAGAGTTTGAGGAAGTTGTAAATGGGTGATTGTTGATGTTCGGAAGTGAAGGCAAGGTAAGTAAAGAAGGTAGGCTATAGTTAGTTCCACGTGGCATGTTACTGTAAGCGCGTGACTGGTTAGTATTTTCTAGTTTCTCAGACTGACCTTCATGTGTATTTGTTGATAATTTGTTCCTGAGTTACTAAATCTAAACTAGTTGGCACTGAGCAATTTCAGTGGGACTGTTGAACAGTATGATTATATCCTAATGAGGTGAGCGAGTATTTCATGGTTCCACTGAGTGGTATCTATTATGGAGCGTAAATTTAGTGAGAATAAACAGTACTGAGGGGTAGATTATCTGTGACTTTGCACCAGTTGCATTGTTTTAGTAACACTCCGAAAAATGAAACATGACACTATAGTTAACTGTGTGTTGAGTTGTGGCTGAGTGGTTTAGGGAGATGACTATCAACCGTTAGGTTACGGGTTTAAATCCCACTCCACCTGTCGGGGTTTGAGGAGGCAGGTAATATGACTAGCCCTCACACAATAGGTGTGGCTCTTTGCGTACTGCATGAGTGTGCACAGAGTGGCTGAGTCCGTTCCGTTCCATGGTTAACTGTGACTAAAATAACAGTATGGTTCAAATTAGTGTGAGAATGAATGTGACTAGGCCACTGAAGTTTATTTTTCAACTATGTAACAAAACTATTAGGATATTAATTCGTACCTTTTCGATGATTTGAGCAAATGACCCTATTTTCACCTAGATCAGCATTTAGTTAGTAGTTAGAGACATTATCAATACGTCGTCACACTGTTCCAGGCGCTATTCTTACCTCATAAAGTATTTTATATTCTTTTGATTCTTTTCACAAAGTTCTTTTAGTTTGGTTTATTTGGATGTATGACATTATTTCCATCTACTTATCATACACAGATAAGCGAAGGCTTGCAGTCTTTTCTGCAGCATGAGTCTAGCTTTCAGCATCAAGAAGTAGTGGAACGATTGCAACGTCGAATATACGAAATTGAAGAGATATTCGCGATGAAGCATGATGCCTTGGTGGAAAGTGAAACAGCTTTCTGCGAACTTAAGGCTCGATATGATGATCTTTCACAGAGATTGGTAAGTCACAGATATGAACTCGTTCTTTTTGTTCTCACTGTGCATGACTCCGTAATTTTTGAAATATTTAGAAGGCATAGAATTTTTTAGCCCTTTTTAATGATAGTCATCAGGTAAATGTGATAGGAAATGAGTGCAGACCTAAGTTATGCCTGTTTAGATCGCGAGTTTAAGTGTTAGCTAAAGCACTTGAGTCCTGATATGCGTACCACTAGATGTGAATTCGCTGAGAAACACTATTTTTAGTGTTTTTGTGTGTACATATTATTTTTGGTTCCTAGAAGAGACGAATTTTTATCAACCCTCTCTGACTATTCTATCAACTATTAATGAAAAGCATAGTGAAATTCGCTAGAGGTATCATATTCAATAACTTATTGATTTCTTTTAAATTACATAAACTAAATCCAATTAGATTGCACAGACCAACGATTTGCACCAGTCCACTTTAAAATTGGAAAAAGTAAAACAGTTACACAAGGAAGAATTGGAAGCACACACTAATGAAGCAGAGAAACGGATTGTTGAATTGAAAGTTGATCTGAGAACTGCACTAGAACACAACGCTGCATTGCTGTCACATATTCCAGATATTGACGCAGGTGTGCAAACGATCTTCTCTGAACCATCTATTCTTTGTGACTCAACCGCAGTTCAAACCTCAATTTGTCAAGTGAATGAATTGTGTGTGCAGGTATAATAATTGTTTCAAGTATAGAAATACACATGTATTTTTTTTGTGTGTACTTCTTACGAATTAAATTTTACGTTTAATAAAGTTTTGACAAAAAATACAAACTACTAAATGGTTATAAGGCTGTTGAAGGAAAATAGGATGTAAGAAAGATGCTGAAATTTGATTAGTATCATCAAATCAGCATTCACGAATTTGATTAGATAGTACATGTATTGTGGATTTCTGGTTGTCAGTTATGTCTCTATTGCATTTTAAAATTACGCTGAATACCGCAGAACAATGGGACATTGTTTCTATGATGTTTAAGACTCTTCAACAATCTAGAATTTCTACCAATGTTTAAATGCACCATATTATAACAGCTTTGTATGTTCTGCGTTTCATATAAATCGAATAAATTACAGTGGATCACTATCGTCTTCTAATGCTATCAACAAGCGTCTATTTTCCATTTTGTGGCTAACTTCAAAGGATACTCTTTATTTCGAGAGGCGAAGCAGTGACTCAGTGGTTAATTGTGTTCACCATATACTCAGGGAGGTTTACTGAACATCGACTTAATATAAAGCAGTCTTCCAATGCTGTACTATTTGCAGTACTGTTTCATGTGATGTCATGTTGGATGCTTAAATGAAGTATCCCTATTACGTACGGGATTTTGATTATCAGAGTAGATGATCCTTCACTTAAAAAGTTTTAATTTATCACTTTATACAGAAGAGAATGTCAATGTATCTCACATAGTTCCTACTGATAGTGGATAGTTAATAATTTCAAACAGTTCCCAGATGAAGTGTTATTTTTGTTAAATATTCTTATGCAACTTATTGCAAATGAAACTTTTTGAATAGTGCTGTGGAAATATAAATATCCTATAAGGATGAATAAAAGCAACTGATAACAGATTTAGCAATTATATCAGAGTGATCTGAAAACAGAATAAATATTTGGTGAATATAAGACTTATTATATGAAGAATGTATGTAAACAGATCTCGCCTAAAATTATCAATTAGTTTAGTGAACTAAATCATACAAATTGTGGCAGTAATGAAAAGTGATCTGATAGATTGGTCTCAATTACCTATTGTGTTCTATTCGTGTGATTGGAACTATCTGCGATATTATGATGTTTCCTTGATGATTTATATTTGGTTTTATTCCTAACAGACTTGTTTGGTGGATCAAGGTATATCTGTTGGAGTTCAGACAGAAAAATGCAATCCTACTAGTACTTCAAAATCTGCCTCACAGACAGGTGGGGAAGTTGTGACTTCTGAATACGAGGAGTCGAACGAAAGTAATTGCACCTATAAACCCGATCACCGCACAATTCAAGGCAAACGAAACTTGGGAAATGCTAATCGTTTAAGACTGAAGCATAATAGAGGAAGACCTACACAAAGACTTGGTCCACCGAAGATCCCTGATCTACTTTCTCCGATTGCTTCCTCTGTTTGTATGTCAGATAGTGAGTTGGAACTTATCTCTACTTTGGCTGATGGGATTGAGAAAGAAAACTTAAATTCGACAAGCGAAGAAATAGAGGATGATGATGACACACATAAAAGTAAATCAGTGCTGCGAAGCATTAGTACTCGAACTACACGGCGTAACAACGCGAAAAAGGTGAACGGAACTTCTACAGAACCGCGAAAAAGACGCACAGTCTTGGCTGCTGCTCAGCGACGCCTTCCACATTTGGCTGAGTCCAGCCAGCTGTTACCAGACTCATTCTTTCAGGACCAGCTTGACGAAGCCTTAGAAGTTGTAGATGCCGAACTTAGAAGAACTGAACACCGAAAACTCCGTGAACTACCTTTGCGCCAAGGACCTCGAAGAAGACGTTAATTTTTATTTGGACTTCACAGTACTGTACATAATCTGTTTCTATCCCGTTTCGTTTTCCTGGTCACTGAAAACCTTTGTCATTTATTGATTACTATGTTATGCTTTTGGTAAACTACAGAACTTCACTATCCGCTTAGACTTTAATCCTCAGGCGCTCATATTATACTGAACTTGTGTGTGTGTGTGTGTATGTGTGTTTATGCGGCAAGTTATTAGTTCCCTAGTATACTGTGCATTTCATTTCAAATCAAACCAGTATTACTGTTGTATACCTGCACTTTATTGCCCTTTGTTTATATACATTTTTTCTCATTTGCAATGGATTTGTTTTGAAACACTTATGAAGGTTAGAATGGCTTTCAGTCTTCACTACGTCCTGATCGAGCTGGGTTTCGTCACAGTTTGCCGTTCATGAACAAAGCTCATTTGAAATTTTGAGGGAATTCGTCCTATTGAATATTGAAGCTACTACTCAGCGCTGAAGTCAGAGGTGTTACCATAAAATACTAAGGCCATGAACGATTAAGTGGGTCTCCTGCCGGACATTATATTAGATCTGGTCTATGATCATTGTGCAGTGAAACACGGTAAAGCTTGTACGATCTCTGTTCGTGGCTAGTCTGCACTGTCATATATTTGGTAAGAATTTTTTCCCCCTAGTCTGTTTAAACTAAGGAATCTGTAACACTGCTTCTGAAGAAATGGGTCAGGATGTAGGAGAATATGGTCCAAAGGATGACACAAGTATGTACACCACTTTGATTGTGTATATCTTACATGATTTGACGTCCTAGATATATGAAATGTGTAGGACATATCAATGTTGATAGTAGTTGAGAAAGAGAAGTATATACGAGTGCTGCTGACTGCTATATATGAATTAAATCTTGTAATATGAAGCTTCGAGTAAAATATTTAATTGATTTTTATCACTTAGCTGAAGATAAAACAGTCAATTAAATGTGATGTGTCTATAAGTTGCAGTCCCTTAATCTTGGAATACTTTGTATAGGATTCACCTCTGAATTCTATGCATTATTGGTGTCATGTTTGAAATCAGTCTGGACTCTTTATACGTGTGTCTGTACTACTCGTTAGATAAGCGTTCCGGTTGAAGCCAAACTGAAACTGAATTCTAATTTCCAAGATAATATGACTTTTTCAAGGATTACGAAATATCTAGGTGAGGAGTGATAACCAGCACAGAAACTGGTTCCTTAATATTCTATTGACTGGCTCTTAACGTCAAAACTTCAGTATCATCTAGACGTCTCAAATCACTTTTTAAGCCAGAATACTAATGATCGAGATAATACTGCTTGAAAACTGGATTTTCTTTTGAAATAAAAGATTATCAAAGAGGAAATAGAATATGACTTGTCACTGAAGGGGAAAATATCACCCATACTTTTTCAGATAGATAGTAGCCATCCATATCGATTCAATGTGTATTACAATATTTGCATCACCTTAAAAAAATATCACTATTAATACTGTTTGACTTTTGATCTGAATTAAAATAAAACACACATTTACAAAAGATAAACATGTCCTGTATAATTTACGTGCATACATATTTCGTTGTTTCATTGGTTTCTGTGTCTGAAAGACTTAACGCGTTGTTTAGTCTTGGTTTCCTTTTGAGAATGATGACTGAGTTTTTTCAGACAAAAGGAGACCATAGTTTCTTCTAACTCGAACCAGCGAAGTATTTACAAAATTAGGATCGATGAAATATCGGACCACCAGTGGATGCTATTAAGCCTTCACCAGTAATTACCTAATCATTTATAATGAGTTGAGCTTGATGTACCAACTCTGAGACTAGCTTCTTTCTTAACACATTTTGTTGTTTCCTTGACCTGATAATATAAGAAAGTTGAATTAGTGCTATGCAAAGAAAAGGATATAACGGATCTCTAAAATCCATTCACAAATACACGGTAAGGATTTGTGTACTCACTGTGCACATGAATCAGAAGAAAATACATCTGGCTGAAAATAGTGTGGTCAGGTTCGGGTTTCTGACGCTAAGAACTCTACGGGAAAGTGGATTTATGGGAACCGTTACTAACCGGAGTGCTGACACTATTTTGCCTAATCGTCATATGTACTTATCTTACTTGGTACGATTGTTCGAACAGATGATCAGGTTTCTTACTTCGATATTCATTTACTTGGGTAGGTAGGGATTACTAGGCAAATTGTGGAAGAAAACTTCGGATAAAAGCAAATCATACAAACTACTGTTGAACTGATCCTACTGAGAGGATTGGTGTGATTACGATGGTGCAATGAAGTCTATAATCGTTACTTCGGTTTTAACGCATAGGAAGCTGAAACATTTGGAAGTGGTATAGCGTTTGTTGATAAAAATAGCCTTTATACTATTCGCATAAACAAGATCAACGTATGACTAGGCATTACTGTATAACGGTCCAAGTTGCCACACCTCATATCAGCAAATCAAGCATGGAAGCACTAAGTATGAAGAAGTAGTAAAAGAGAGGAAAAAGGGATGCGAAAATACTGATGTGATAATCAAGATGATTACAGTGTGTGGATACATCTGTGCAACTGAGATGGATTCTGAACCATTTAGCATAGGGTCTCTGATCATCGGTTTTCTGTTGTCACTCGTACTCCAACCGAAAAGCCTGCATTTCTTGACACGTTTCAGACCAACAGTCAAAGACTTCATGCAATGATGCTATGTCTTAGTTCGGCTGCATGTAACCTTTCTCCAGCCTAAACTGACTTCAGCCAACATTGTTCGACCAGGCAAATGGTGACTAAACATGCATAGTACATGTCCCAGCTACCTCAGATGATGAAGGTTCACAGCCTTATCAACTGATACTTCACTCCTCTCTGGAACTCTACGCGTGATACCAAGACACGGCCTATGCTGCGAAGGCAGTGGTTATCAAATACCTGGAGCCTTCTCATGTCTTCTGCCTTGATATAGACATGTTTCATATCAATACAGTAGGAAAAAAAGAACAGCAGCGCAGTACTCCCGAGTCTTGATAGATGGATAGTCGGATGTCACGGTGCCACTGATGGCGTAGGTCGGGGAAAGTCAAGCTTGCCTTTCGTATTAGCATATTTTAGTATTGACAGTCGTACTTTAAACATTATTAAACTACTACTCAAGGAGTTAAGGAGACTATCTTGTGAATGTCTTCACGCTATAGAACCACTCTTCTGAGTTCTGTAGATCTCCCAAGGGTTTCGCTATGACAAGATCAGTCCCTTTTAATTGGTAAGATGAGAGGGAGATCTCCATAATTACTTCTGTGATAGAATTCAATCAGATTAGAGAGAGTAAAGATCCTTGACGGACACCAAGTGGCGCACACAACTCACGGTAAGTTTTAGCGCGCCCACGCGTGTTCAAGCAAAGAGTGATGTGCATATTCGGCACCACTACCAGTGAGAGAAACTCCCATAAGGCGTATACATGGATGGAGTCGAATGCCGTCTTCAAGTAAAGAAATACAGCTGGTGTTGGAAAAGGGTAATTTTGCCTGTGTTCCAGAACCTTGCAAAGAGTGAATTTCTGGTCGATATACCCAAAGGTAGGTCTGAAGCGTGCCGAGTTTCCTCGCCTTTGATGTTCCTCAGCTCCACTCAGACGTCCAATGATTATAAATTTTAGGCACTGTTTTCCTCAGACTTGTTCCCGTATGGTTATCACAAAACTGGGAGAATCAGTGATTGAGACCTATTCGCTCCACTTTCCTTTATAAATCTAAATAACTGTGTACTGTTACCCATAGCCGTTCCATTTCCAAATGTTCGGTTTTCGATACCCACCACTGTCCGTGGTGATTGCTTAGACTTTTGATCAGTCTACATTTGACTTGCTTCCGTTCCTCATTGTGGTTGGAGGCTGCAAGGATTCGTTTATGAATTCCAAAGAAACTACTCAGATGCGCTGGAACTTCATAACCACAGTCTGAAAATCACCTATAGTTTCAGCGATGTTTTTACAGACGACTGGAGATGGAAGGGTGATATTGTACAGTGCTGATAAGTAAGAGCTAGTTTTCCACTGAAAACAACCTTAATGCTGTCATTGTTCAGCTGCAACCAGAACAGTCTTGTTTCAGTGTTTCTGCATCCACATAAGTTGTGTTTGATTGGGTCTTGTCTACTGGCGAATGACACTTCTCGGCTGTCCACAGAGTGGAAGGCTTGTTCTGCTGATTGTATCTGAAAGAGAAGAACATTTGTTTGACCACATACCCCATGGAATATCTGCTTGAGGAGGCCTGTCACACAGTGTTTGACAGTTCGTTTGTTCTAACGTTGGATAGACAGAACCCATACCGTCGGCACCTGAAGGCCGTGGGACAGGGAGGAGTGTGTTGTTTTAGGGGCTGGCGTTTTCTAACCCCCTTCTCATTGGGACAGCAGAATCAGTGTCACACTGATGGTAATCCTAGGGAAACATCACACTCTTGTCACACACCAGACCAGCCAGCCAGCAGTACGACTTTGCCCTAAGACCCCCATCATAGTATGGCAATTTACACTGTAACGGTAACTCCTTCTCGTCTTACCACACATTATCCAACAACGATTCCCATCCTCTCGGGGACCCCACCCACGTAGTCTATATCTTTCCAACACAAGTTAGACCAACAGTCACAGACTCAATCGACTGATGTCACGTCTTTCTCTGACCACCCGGAACCCTCTTCCAACCTAATCCAACGATTCCAAGCACGACACATCTATGTAGGTGGTGGTCAGTCGACATGTGCAGTTCACGTCCAAGTCACCTCAAGTCAAATAAGGTTCACAACATCAGAAACCAACTTGCATGTCTTGCCTAGTACCCTTCCCTTAACCTCAACAGTGCTCACACACAGTGACTCCGATAAATCCCACAAAAATGCTACGAAGACACTCAGATCTTTCGTATCCAAGCTGACATTTCGTCACCAACCAACCAACCAACTCCAAAAGTCAGTAAAGTGATCGACGTGTTC